TTGAAGATTTTCATATTTTCTATTATTTTTAAAAGATTCGTTAATTACGGAATTATTGAAAATAATTGTAACATTACGTCACCATTTGGGACAAGAATCACAACTCACAACACAACTATTAATTATAATTCAACAAAAACAACAATGTCTACACTTATCTCAATTCAAGAGTATCATTGTCTTAAGTCTTATCATCCAAGAAGAACTTATAGAGAACAAGAAATTAGATTACCACATATATACTTCACCAGATATTGGAAAACTTCACCTCATTTTGGTTATACTTGCAATGATTGCAATGAAATCAGAAAAATCATTATTTTTGAAAATAATATGGAAGATAGATTTCAAAACTGATTACACAATTTGATCAAATACAACTGCTATTGGTGTAAAAACAGATTACATTTAAATCATGATAACTGTGAGTTATGCACAGATCATCAAGAAAAAGTCATCATCAATTTGAATGAAGAAGATGAAGATTTCATCAATAATAATGATATTTGAAAATACATAAATGTCTATCCAGAACAAGCAAAGGATACTCAAAGTAATGATGGATCAATCATCACCATTACTATGACTGAATTAGAAGAAGAAAGAAGAAGAATTCAGTCAAAAAGAATGACGGATTCAGGCCAGAAAACTGTAATCCTGACCCACCGATCATCTTTAGAATCACATCAAGATGAAAATTTTGAAAATTCGAGAATAAGTAAGATAAAAATAAAAAAAATTGGGAACACAAATACTGATGATGACATAGTCAATATTATGTGATCAGAAACATCAGAGGATCTGAAGGAAACCTCCAGAAATTCTGAAATAAAGGGAGAAAAATGGACGCTTTCTTATGAGAAGTACATTGTTCATCCACTCCCAAGTAGAACGAAAAATGATGATACCAGCCGATGACAATTATCAGCCAGAAATCATCAAGACCAGAAAATTGATGAACTAAAGAGGAGAAAATCCACGAGATTAGACACGTTGACAAGAAATGTTCAATCTCAGATTGATAGGCTTAGCCAACTGATACTGCCAACCAGAAACCTATATGAAAAGAAAAACTGACTACAAAATGAACAGATTAATAAATTTAACATAAAAAGAAAGACAAATAAAAATACAAACGAATGGAATAACTTACCTAACTTCAATGACGACAACCATCAGGAAACTAAAGAAGATGATGAATGGGATACAACCAGTATCCCATGGATGATAACAATGGATGATAGTGATAGCAACGGTAACAACAATGAAACAGGAACGCCCTACAAAAAGCAACATGAACAGATGGTTAGTACTATAAAATCGTTGTTCGACACTTCTCCTCCAGATAACGAAAATTGGACATGAATACCTATTCATTTACTACCACCGACTACTATTATCACTGCTTTGTCCCAAAGAAAAACAAATGCCCAAAATGGTGAAAAACTAAAAAAGAAAACATAAATAAAAATGGGAAACTCACCTAATACACTCGAAGAATGGAGTACACATCTCACCGAATACTGGAAAATTCTAACATTATATGAAAACACACGCGTCCTCATTAAACCAAATGAAATCGTGAAAAATAATAAAAATAACAGTTTTCCTGTGTGTTTTAATACTAAAACAACAGTCCCTATGAAAAACACAAATAAAAATAATAATAACACAAGTACATAATCTACCAGTATTCTGATTTCTAGTTTTCAGCATTCTGAAAACAAGAAAAATATCCTCAACAATACTCCAATTAATAATTCAATTAATACTGTCACACTATCACACAATAAATTATATTCGCACACAAAAATCTATGACCAATCAAATTTGTGAATCATGAGTAACATCACATAAATAGTTGAATTATATACTACAGCCTGAAAATTAGGCATGTTTATTGGATCAAATTATGAATCTAAAAATTCAATGAACCCAAATAGATTTAGTTTCCCTTTAAAATACACTGATCCTAATTTATTATATATCTTTTATTAATTAATTTAGTTAATATAAAATCTTTAAAAATTTTCTTATAAATAATCCCTTCGCTTCTAAAAAAAAAGAGAAAATAGTAATAACAACATTAATAATAAAAATAATATTTCTTTTATATATACATAATACAATTTCTATTATACAAATTTACCAAAATGATCTCTATTATTCTTTCACATATTCCTTCTCAAATTATTCTATTAACTCAAACATTACATTATCAAATAAAGATATGTAATATTGAAGAACAATTAATTATCGATCCAAATGGATATCAGTTTGTATTATTCAATACCAATACAACCGATATTCAAATGTCAGATATACAATTTCTTGTTGTACAAGGACCATCAATCGAATTAACTAAGTTAGAAAAGAAAATTACTAAAGGAATATTACAAGCAGCCATAAATAGAGAAGTAAAAGCCAGACCACCAGTATATCTATCAGCTGAATATTCATTATTGTTATATAACTATATATTGGATATGCAATTATATTCATCTACTGTCATATTCTATGAAATGGGTCGAATCATTCATGATCTCACCTTTGGAATGAGCCGTGTAAGAACAAGTGAAGAAGCCAAAAAGTTAATTAAGAAGATAAATCCACACAATGTTCAATTCAAAGCCATGGCTATACTAAGAATCTATCAATATTTTTCAGAATATCCTGAAATTTTAGAATATAGTAGATTGGATAATTACTTTACTTTATCAGTAATTGGTAAATTAAGTTATAAAAACAATGACAATTTAGCTAGTAGAATTCAAGAATTTTTGAGTTTCACTGCTCAACAATTTTAATTATATTATTTTAGTTTATTTTATTTATTTAATTCTTAATTTTACAGAATAAAATTCTTAACTCCGGGAGTTCTGTTATGATATGACTTTACATATCATAATTTTTATTAATTATTTCATTCTATCATCTTATTGGTTATATTTATCACA